CATGCATCCTACCTTTTGTGTTCCAGCCATTTTCACCTCTCTCTGGGCTTCAGTTTATCCTCTCAGAGCACAGAGGAGACAAGTGATTCGTCAAGGTCACACAGCTAGTAAGTGATAGAGTCAAGATTTGAACCCTGGCAGCCCAGCTCCTAGGTCACCTTGGGAACCACTCTTCCCTCTATGCCATGGTGAAGGTAAGGAAGGAACTTCCATCCAAAGACCACCAGGCAGGGCTGGCCAGTTAGCTCAGTTGGTTAGGGTGGTGGTACTGTAACACCAAGGTCAAGAGTTAGGTTCCCCAAACCAGCCAGCCACCAAAAAAAAAATAATAAAATAAAGAAATAAAGAGCACCAGGTAACTTGGCTGTTGAGGTCTCCTCCACAGGACAACGGAAGGGGTGGCTTAATTATCCTGGGATGCTGGTGCTGAACCAGAGGAAACAGGTGATGATTTACAGCCTGGAAAATGAAAATTAGGTTTAAAGCCTTCAGTTTGGATGGTAAGCCTCCCAAATATAGCTCCCCTTCTTGCAGATGGGAGTACTGCTCCTGGCAGGCAGAGAGGGGATGGAGAAGAGAGCAGCCCATCCTCTACCCCATTCCCCACCCATCTCCCAGGCCAGGGAAAGACTGATGGTAAAGCACTTATCACTCCATAAAAGCTTCTTAAAGCTTCTTCGAGAATTCTGGCTGGGGGTGTTGCTCAGCTAACCAGGAGCCCATGAAATAATAATCCCACTCATTAGCCTCAGTCGCCCAAGCTCTGGGCAGGCTCTACCCTCTTCCATTCCAAAGCCCTTAAAGTGGCTTCACCCTGGGAAATCTCTGGACAAGGGAGACCAGAGCGTCCCAATAATTCTAGTTCACTCCACGCTTCTGCGGGAGATGTTGGGGGTCCCAGGGTCTCTGGGCTTGACAGCTGGTTCTCAGCTACTCTTCCCACCTTCAGAAACTGGGGGCTTCCCCACCTGGCCTGAAGCGTGGGCACAGACCCTTTGGGCTGGGACCAGTTAAGATGACTCACCACAAAGGGTGTGGGAGATTCTGGGCAGAACACCCAGGGGCCTGCGCCTTCCTCCAATCCACACAAGAGCTTCTGAGGACACTCTGCCCAAACTCCCAACCCCCAACTGGGTGAGATTTCTGTCTTCTCCCAACTTCCATGGTGGGGTTAGGGGGCCTGTGGAGAAGGGGGTTTTAAGCCCCAACCTTGATCTTGGATACCAAGCTTGTTCCTGAAAGAGGCCTTCTAAGAAGGGTTAGAAGGGAGGGGAGCCTGAGGATGGCTTCTTTACTCTGCCCCATCCAAAAGTGCAAAATTGGGGAAGGGTAAGTTTCCGGGCAGCTGGGCAAAGAAGACACAGGTGGCACTGGAAAACCTGAGGTCTGGGTTCATTTCCAGCTTCAGCTCAGAACCCAAATCTTCCCTCCCCCTTAGCACCAGTCTCAGTCCCATCCCAATATCCAGGGTTCCCAGGTGGCATCCCCACACCCCATCCCCCACTCTGTACAGAGCTCTTTAGCACGTGCCAACGGGTTAATATCCCATAAAACCTACACACACCATTACAGTGAAGGGGTAGGAGGATTCTCTTTGCCAGCCCTTCCAGGCGAGGGGTGTGAGAGTAGGAGATTAGGAAGAGGAGGAAGAGGATGGAGGGGAAAAGGGCGGGGAAGAAGGCAGAGGCCGCAGGAAGGCCGGAGATGCAGGAAGCAGCTGGGAGTGGGGGGGGGGGGGGGGTTTT